CCCCCAAAAAGCTGGGATCACAGGCACCTGCTACCGTGCCCGACTAATTTTTGTATTTTTAGTAGAGACAGAGTTTCACCATGTTGGCCAGGCTGGTCTCAAATTCCTGACCTCAGATGATCCGCTCGCCTCGGCCTCCCCAAGTGTTGGGATCACAGGCGTGAGCCACCGCATCGGGCCCTCAAACTACTTTTCTTAGGAGTGAGAAAGAGAGAAGGCCTAAGGGGAAGATGCCCCCAGATTCTCCTTCCCAGTGTGCACTCATTGTCATGGATCTCTACTTACCTGTGCATAGACACAGCCCTGGCCTGAGGCCTCCAGCGTGTACATTCCAGGGACGTTGGGCAGAGTCTCCTGCTGAAATACCAATCTATTGGCTGAATGTATATTGAATGTGCGCTGGAAATTCTCAGTGGATTTTACAGCCAGGCTGACATCCTCAGATGGCATGTAGGCAGTAGTGGCATATTTGGCAAGAGCTTGGAGAGCAACTACAGTGTCCTGAGGGAAACAAACAACCAAACGTATACTTACCATTTTGTGAGCCATTGGAATTAACCTTGAACAACTATCTATAACCCACACATCTGGTTGCTGTTAGTTGGGTTGGATGATGTCTTCTCCAAGTATTTAGAGAACTATACCCACCTCCTCTGGAGAAGCTGACATAGAAATCACAGTAGCATGCTTTTATAGAAAATCACCATCAACAAGGTACTACCGAACATCCATGGGTTACTTGGTTAACCTAACAAATTCATATTCAGAAATCAAACAGCTTCAGAATGAGTTATGGCTACAAGCAAGTGAATAACTGTTCGGTATATATTTTAGAGCTTCCTTATTTGGGGAGGAAGCAGGAGTAACTTGATAGCCCTAGAAATTGCAGTCTATGATGTCATTTAACTATATAACGATCTTCTACATCACACTTGGAAGGAGTATCAGGGACCCTAGGTAAGTCCTTTTTTGCAGGCCAGCCTCTTAGCCATTGTACCATGTGACGATCTTTTATTTCTCTGGGAATAAGACAGATAAACTGTCACTAAGTGAGCATGGGACGGTGAAGTTTGAACTGCTTCATTCTGAAAACATAATTCATCTAAATTACAAGGGGAAAGAAAAATTAATGAAGTGTTCAAAATTGTCATATCTCGCTCTATGTTATGAAAATTTCTACATGCTTGACACTGTGTAAAGTATCTATTACCAAAAGAACCCCTATTTCTTCATCTCACAAATGAAAAACAGTCTTATTTTGACATTATCACTGTTGTACAAAACAAGAAGACAGGTCACCAACCCCAGTGAAGCCGGGAACAAGTTTTATCTGTGCAGCTTGACCACCTACAAACAATTTTTGTTTACCCTTTGTGGACTGGAGACATGGAAGTTTTATACTGTTTGAACATATGGAAAGAATTCATAGAAAGGGACCTAACTGTCAGCTAAAAAACCAGTGTGGGTGATATGTGATATATGACTTCTTGTGATAGCCAAGGATTTCACTGAAAAATGATTCTGGCTGGCCACAGTGGCTCACACCTGTAATCCCAGCACTGTGGGAGGCCGAGGCAGGTAATCACCTGAGGTCAGGAGTTCGAGACCAGCCTGGCCAACATGATGAAACCCTGTCTCTACTAA